ACACTTTTGAAATTAACTTAATTTCATTTACACGAAATTAAGGAAATTTGGCTGTCTGAAGATAATATAACTTTAAAATTAATTTTAGTGTTAACTCACAAGTAAATAATAAACAAATAAGATAAATCGGTGTATCTTGGATACACCTAGATGAAACATTCTAGATAAAACCATCTAGAACCAACTAGTAAATGCAATTTTTTCTTTAATCGCAATGGACAACAACGAATTGCACGTGACTTAATATTAGTATATAAAAATTCTAACATTAAAGGCCGACATCTCGGAAACTAAATTATATTAACGTCAATGAAAAGTTGTTCAAAGTAGTTGGTTTTACTAAAAATCATTGTCATATAAGTATTGAACACCTATTTCTCTTCAAGAGTCATTAATATTTACATATATTATATTTTTTGTTGTTATTAGGATAAAATATATAATGCAAAAAGTCATATTCGTTTTAATAATAGCACATAAACCGTTAAATGGTATGTATCAATCATAACATTTATCAAGGCAATGCTACAAGACAGACTATAATACTGGCGCAGTTGAAAAATTTAAAAAATAAGTGGAAAATTTAATACACATTTTCCATTATTATTTTATTGTATTATTTTTATTGAAAAGTTAACAATAAATGATTGTGGCAATGTATAATTGTGTATTGTTGTACATATAAATAGGAATGGATTTTTTATGAAATTTTTATTATATACAAATACCATTATGGAAACTTTAATTTCAAATATTTTTTTAAAATAAGTTTTTATGTACATTATAGATATTTTTTATTTTCATTAACGAAACTTAACTCATAAGCTATATTCATGTGCAAGTATAAATAAGTACATGAGTAAGCGGTACCTATAAATAAATTCTGCTATAATAATAATAATCGCGTATTTAGAAAAATATTAATTGAAGAATTAAATAATATTAATACAATAATTAAATTATCAAATCTCAGAGCACATTTTATTACGAAAGTCTCTAAACAAGAATAATGTTATAATTTCTACAGATAATTGATAACCAACTAATAGTTGTTAGGATAGTTGATAACCAACTAATAGTTGTTGGGATAGTTGATAACCAACTAATTGTTGTTAGGATAACAATAATTATCACACTTAAAGTGAATTGTTCATCATTCACTTCCATCTAAAGCAGCTCTAAGTCATATATTATTTTGAGTATTTGGAGTCCTATACTATACTAGTATTATGTACTATACTATACAATAATTTTTAATAAGCATAGGTTTCGACCAAAATTAAATTGCACAAATAATAACTCCTTGTGATACTAATAACTAATATTCCATAAATTATACTTAATTAACCAAACGTGTTTTTTTTTCTAATTCTTGACTATCAATATCCGAAATTACAACAAGTCTACGTAAAATGAAAATACGAGGCAGACTTCTTGGGTTATCAAAAAATCAAATTAAATGTTGTTATAAAAAAACCCGATCTCTAAAATTTCAACTACTTAGTATAAAGTATTCTTTTTGTTAAAATAATTACTAAACAAAATTATATGTAAAATTATTTTAAATTTGAAAAGTTATTTTTAATAAATTATGTATTCCCAATAAGGTTTAAAAAATATTTTAAAAAGTTTAAATCAATCAGTATATAATTTCTAAATATTCAATATAACACCTCTTATTATTTTGAAATTCCTTTTTATATTCCTATTATTTCTTATTAGACAAATGAGATTGACAGAATAAATTATTAAAAACTGTTTCCGGTATATCACTAAATTTCAGAGATCGGTTGCAAATATTTCATAGATGAAATAAAAGGATTAGAACAATGCATTTTACCAAAGTAATTAGATACTACAAACTCTTGCTTTTAATATAGATCAATTTTAATAGCATTTGTGGATTCTTGGTTTATTATACTTGTCACGATTAAAAACACATATCATATTTTATATTTTAAGTTAAGACTTAGTTATTAATAGATGACTATAAATTTTTCCTATCGATTGCAATTTTAATGTGATTGATTCAGATGTATTACATGTTTTTGTGTTATAGATTTATATATATATATAAAAGTATAATATATATTATATAACTATAATTTCAAATTGTCCTCAAATTCAAAATCCAAAACAGAACCATTTATTTCTTTAAAAAAAAACCAATCCCAACGAAACGAAGTCAGCAAAAGTTACACCCATTTTTAATCAAAAAATTATTCAACCATTAAAATCATCAAGATCAACATACCATAAAGCAACGAAAAAAATGTATTTATTTAAAATTTATATAAAAAAAAATTATTTAAACCATATATCATATGTATGAAATTCAGCTCTCAAATATCAATCTACAGTATATTGCTCCTACTCTCAAATGGCTTAGAACTGAATTGAACATATGGAGTGCAGCTGTGGGGTTCTATGGGAACATGGATAAACAGATACTACCCTAAAATTTGTGTTGTAAATAAATGTATAAATTAAATAAGTAAAAAGCAATTTTAAAATAATAATTTTTAATTAATTAATTAATTAATAATTAATTAATAAAATAATTTAATATTAAAAATGTACTATTATATTGTATAGTGACCAAAAAATGTATTCTTATGTTCAAGTTTTTTTTTCTATTTCAATATTAAAATCTTAATTCTTAAAAGATTTTATATTTTAAGAATATTAAAGACTTAAAAAGATTGTAAATTATACTCTCTGTAGAATTAGAATGGTATTACAGCAAAGAACGTACGGTTTTAATGAAATTTCAGATTTTATTTAACTTTGGTTACAGGTCATTCCCTAAGAACTCTTGTTATTAGTTATCGTCCTCCTAGTAATTCAATACGTTATATAATGGAAACTGTTATGATGCGTGCAATCCTAATGCAAAAATTACTTTCATCACCTTAACTAATTTAATTTCACTATATATATTTCTAGCCGTCCGATATTAGTTTCCAAAAGTTTATAAATAAATTAAGATATATGTTCATGAAATTATTTATGAAATTAAACTGTGAGATTAATTCATAATACCTACATATATATTCTGCTGGTACCTCTTGTTGTTATTACTAATACAGTTGTTGTTTTTGTGAGCTTTAATCAGAACCACTTTAAGGAATATAGTACATGGCTGAATTGCATCATAACCGATGATGCGCTACAATCGATGTGCGGTTTAAGCCTCTTTTAGCAAATTTCTCCAATGATCCTAATTAGGACCCAATGAAATTCAATTGAGCATCCTTGGAACCAAACGCTGTAATTCCCGCAATAGCTCCAGCGCAGGCATAATATATTAAAGTGCCTATTTCTATTAAAGATCTTCCGAACTGACACCTCTTCACTTTTTACGAATTTAATAATCAGCCAAGAGTCTTCAAAGTAGAATTCATGCTTGCAACGATTTCGGAATTATCTAATAATTATCTATAGAAAATTTCTCTAAAATGCGGCTAAGCACCCAAATCTGATATTCAAATATTAATACTGGTTAGACTATTGGCTTATACAGCTACACGAAACTTTTGTTTTTCAAATTTAAAGTGTGTTTTTATACAATATGTAGTTTATTAAGTTGGTTCTAATGACAAGTACTTTGAAAGTTGTTATCAAAGCACAAATTAAAAAAAAAAGCCAAAATTTTAACAACTAAAATTTCGTTGTACTCTGACTCGTTTCATTAAAATCGTGAAGTAATTTGCTTCTTATTTGATAGATTCACATTCTAAGCCTAATACTTACGGCCCAAAGAATCTAAATGGGCTAAATAACATCAAAAAAATTTCCAAAGACCACAGATGATAGGTATTCGGAAATATTAGAAACAACTCTATGATATAGTCAAACCAAAACGTTTTTCATAATTAGACGTGCAGACATTAGACGTGCATATATTTGTAAAGCATAGATACTTAAATAAATAAATTTAACTTCATTTAAAATTACAGTCGAGGAGTATTCAGTTTTTTATATAATAACTTTTGATAACAAACAATGGCATTATTCTTCTGTAAGCAATTTTATTCTCGTTTTCTACTTGTTTTATGTTATATTTCATTTTGTTAAAAAAAAACTTTACTTTTAAACCACTATTTACTACATGACGAACAAATATTTTTTATATATATTGTATATATTTTTTTCTTGAAATTTTAATGATTAATTTAAGAACTAAAGCAAAGTGTTTTCATACTACTTCTTATCAAATCGCTACATTTTCGGATATGGTTATAATAGGCATAATATTTTAATCTAAATTACTTATTTTTCAGTTGTATCATACTTCCAGCACTCATATTGGAGAACATATTTCCGAGAATTATTAAAAATTACTGTATTGAAGAAAAGAAGGCAATTAAACCAGAGCACTAAGTCAAGTTCCACAGATTACAAATTTGCAAAATCACAGATTACAAACTTTAATTATTCGGAATGAAAAAAGTATTTGTAATGAAACTGCAATACAATATAAACAAAATCATTTATCAAGCAAATTAATTTAAACGAATACGAATGATTTAAGTACTTGAGACAAGTCAGTAAGATAAGCCCAGCCTCAACACATTTCGCATAATTTTTTATTTCTTTGTTTTCTTTGTGTACATAAATAATTCTCTTAAGTAAAAGATATTTGTATGTTAAAACAAAGAAAAGAGTATTTAAACTGTATCTCACAAAACAAATTTTTTAAACAAACACTTTAATTGCTTTTATTTATATGGACACTTTTTTTTCATATTATGAAGTATTTGAAAACCTTTTTTATTTAAAATTTTTTCTTTCATTCAAGAATTCTCAATTTTATACACATGACGCCATCGGCGAATGTTTTCAATATACTTGCCAGTATCTAAAATATATACACTTTAAATGTTTTTATTAATTTTTAAAAACATCAAAAAAATTTATTCATGCGTTTCGGTTTATATGTATAAATTCGTGTTTTTTATTATCACAACTTCAATATTTTGGCAATTTACTGAACTCACCAGCACCAACAGTATCGGTCGAGATACGCCGCGCGTTTACTTTCCCTGAACTGAACGTAACGAAATGTGAGCAATGACTGGAAGTATATCAAAGTGAGAGAATAAGTCATTTCTACTCAAGATTTTTAAACTATGAAATGCTTCAACACTGCAGATACAAAGTTAAAATTGTACTCTGATCAATTTTCATGGTCACGTCGCTTTATAACAGATTTTATAGTGCCGGTAAAAACACTCTCCTAAACTGTTATAATTGTATTTTTTATTGAATTTTCTATTAATATGTTTAGATATTATATTATATTATATTATATAACACTTATTATATTATCATTTATCTATAATGTTTATAATGATTATATATATCTTATATATATTATATTATTTATATTATATTATTATATTATTATATATATTTATTAATTATATTATATTATATTATATATATTATATATTATATGACTATATATTATATATTATTATTTTATTATATTATATTATAATTTTATTATATATATTATTATTATATGATATTTATTTAATATATATTATATTATATTTATATTATATTATATTTATTATATTATTATTATATTTATAATAAAATGTAGTATTATTATTTATAATATAATATATTATATTATTTTATATATTATACATTACATTTCATTATTTTATGTATTACATTATATTATGATATATATTTTATTACTTTATATATATTATTTTATATATTATATTACTTTATAAATATTGTTTTATGTATGACATCGTATTATTATTATATTATAACACTTTTTATATTATACTACTTTTTTTATATGGTATAATATAATATACCATACCATATAATATATATTATTTTATATTATATTATAAGATTTTATTATATTATATTATATTATATATTATATTGTATATTATATTGTAAATTATATTATATTGTATATTATATTATATTCTATATTATATTATAATATATATTATATTATAATATATATTATATTATATTATATTATATTATATATTATATTATATTATATTATATTGTATATTATATTATATTCTATATTATATTATAATATATATTATATTATATTATATTTTTATATATATTATATTATTATATATTATTATTATTTTTTATTATATTATATATATATTATTTATATTATATTATATTATATTATATTATATTAGTGATTATTGAAAATAAAAACGTTTTTTATCTCACCGCCGTGTCACCGTGTGACAAAACAGAAATTAGCCGAACAAAATTCGATATTTTCGGAACCAGTAGAGATATTGATATAAAATTGTCTTAATATAGTTTTTGAGATGATATCTCTTTTAAATCTAATTCGAGCCCAATCGGTTTACTGCAACTCCTCCAAATTTTGGCCAAAACATGGAGCATTTAGTGGTGTCTCTAGATATTTCAAAAACTATGATATGTAGAAATTTGAGTTTTGGTGTTCAATAAACCTACATTATAATACATATATTCCAACGATTTTATGTTATTCCGCCCACTGTCACACCCACCCCCCATACAAAATTTTCATAAAAAGTAGTTCATTATCGTTAAAAATAGCTTTTTACTCTTATTAGACTAAAAACATTTATTACGTATATAACAACACAATTTTATGCAAAAATATGGGCATGATGCGCCTATTAGTTCTTAAGTTATTTGCAGTTTTCTGCAATTTTAGCGAAATTGTGATTGCAAAAATTGAACAAACTTTAAACCCATATAACTTTTTTACTAGTTATTCAAACATAATCATTTTGACTTTTTTTTAAAGCTTAGAATATTGTTATTCATTATATATAAAAAAAGTTTCAATTTCAATTATCAATAAACCTTTATTATTGAAATTCCACAATAAGTCTGCAATTTTTCTTTGCCACTTTCACTTCTATCTGCGATACCCAAAAAAGATATCCTGGTTTTTTCATACAATTTTTCCTACTAACAGCCAAATGGTAAGACTTTACAAATATCAAAAATTCATCCTACGTAATCTATGTTTTATAACTGCTTTAGGCCCCAAAAGTTACTAAAAAATTGTGCAAAATATGCCCTATTTATTTCAATAACAAATTCAATAAGTGATAATATAAGGGCATTTATTATTTTGAAAAAAAATATTTACTTCATTTATATTTCAAATTTCAACTAAATCAGTTAAAAAAGAACATTAGATTAACACAAATTAGATTTAAAAGAAAAAACATCACAAAAACTACATTGTATGAAAATTTCATATCAATATTTCTACTGGTTCCGAAAATATCGAATTTTGTTCGGCTAATATCTGTTTTATCACACTGTGCGTTGTAGAATGCAATTGGTTGATTCGAAAGAGTCAGTAAATATTGATGAGTTAATATTTACAACTCACAAGATTTAAAATGAAAAAATTTCTACAATACACAATTTTTTGAACTTTTTTATAATATTAGAAATAAAGCTAAAAGACAAACTAAACTAAAGTATAGTCCTACACCGGTAGTATGTTCTTTTTCTTCTGTTTTTTGATAGTTGCGTACTTTTTAAAGATTGGTTTTATTAAATTTTTGGACCAGAACTTAGTGGGATTTTGCATTTAAAACCTATGTGTCGTAGTCGCCTTAGATATGTATTGTGTTATAATATATATAATTTATACCACAATTAGCATAATAATTCTCTGCAGTTATTTCAATGTTATTGAGCAAATAGCAACTGTAATATTTAAATAAATAAATGTTCTTAGAATTGAAACAACTATATAATTGCACTGAAGTATAACATATTTTAATAATATATTTTACAACTTTTTGCTTTAAAAATAACAGAAATACACTAAGAAAAGTGCTGTTTATGAACAACTTATCTTATCGGCTATGTGTCAATTCCACTTATCGGCTATACAACTGTCGCAGAACTGCAATGTATGAATATGACTTCGTTAATATACCAGCAAAACTAGGCAAAGATAGTGTCATAAAGCCCCCCGCAGAGAAAATAAATGGTTTCTGAGCATTAATCAGAAATATTTGTAATGACTTCTTGAAACGTTGATCATATTTATACCAAATACAGCTATAACCAGTTGTTGATAGTGTTTTACTCTAAGAAAATATAAAATATGTAATATATAAATATCTAAATAAATGATAAAGAAACGAGCTAAAGAAATAAACATATACCTGTTCGAAGACATCGTTTCCACACCAGCAATAAATAAAAAGCTCACAAAAAATACAACAGCAGTAAAAATAAATAAGCACAGTTCCATTAGTGGTATCATTACGAACAGTGGCCTGAAATCCCGTCAAGGCGAAAATAATTACAGATGTGAAAAATTGTACTAAAACCGGCATACGAAAAATATCCTCAATTTGATTACGTAAGCTGCACAATAAGGAAAAAGTCACTTTGTTATATATCAATTATATGTGAATGAATGTATATATATATATATTGAATTTATTGTGCACTTATATATGGCTTTGGGTCAAGCAAAAATAATTCTGCATTCTTTAATCAAAATATAAAATATTTTTTCTAGATTTCAAAAACTGTTTTATAATATCACTAATTTTATGCGATCACCATGCTCCATTTTTTGGTTAAGACAACATTTACTATTCTAAAATTCCGATGATCTATTTTGTAAAGACTGCTACAGATGCTTTCTACAATCCTCTTTTAAGATCAATTTGGCATCGAAAAAGGTGATGCAATGTCAAAATTATAATATTCAAGAGTGAAGTCCCCGTAGTCAAAGTCCCTTAATTATTGATGAGACAGAAAACTATATTAATTATTATTTACACTTTTCATTAAGAAACCCAACATATTTTAAATTAATTCCCTCGCATTAATAGATGAAACCAGCTTTAATAGATGAAACCATTAAAATCTCACGAAACACCATTACCATTTGTGGAGGTGATATGTAGCAAGACTATACATATCTTCCATCTTTTAATAGCAAGACTATACAACATTATTATCTATGATCCACTTTTTATCAGTTCCTGCCATATGTATTGAGTATCTCAATTTCTTTCAAAAATAATTTATGGGTAGAAATTCTTAACGGAGCGAATTTTCATCCAGGAATTTATTTATATGGAATCACAAAGCACTTGAATATCTAACTCATTTTTGTAACCAACTTTATGCAAATTGTTTGAACTTTAAAAATTGTGGTTCAAACCCAAGTTCTCTTCTAAATCGTAATTGCTCTCATGCCGGTTCAACTTTTTTGGTAAATTTATGGCTTTTATTGGATAATTTTTCAGTTCCCAATTTTCAAAAGGAAATCAAGTGAATTATATTCTAGTGTAGTATTTTTGCCATAAAAATAACATATAATTGAACACAATTATATTGTATTCATCCGTTTATAAATTTTAAAATATATAATAGATTTTCCAATAGTTTACTCATGTATTAACAAATTTTAACACAAATTGCCAATATCTATAAATATTTGCCAATAACTAAATAACTTGTTATTTGTCAAAAGAAAGTATTAATCCAATCATACGTTACAAATTTATTATAATTCAAACAAAGAAAGGAATTATTTTTTTTACCCAACCCAGTATATAGACAGATTTAATATATTTGAGTTATAATTTAAGCAAATACCCTGTATTGAGGTAGTTTCTGTACTTACTCTAGTAAACACCAATGATGTTCAATAATTAAATTTATGCGTTCATTTACAAATGGTTTCTTTTGAGATGCTAATAATTGTTTACGATCATTCATAGACAACTCACTAAATGACAGATTAAGAAACCTCAATTGAAAACGTATTTGATTGATAAGTATTACATTGAGGTAATCTATAGCTACTATTTGCATTGCAAGCAATAAAACACTGACTCCCATATAAATTAATTGTAGTTCCGGCTTGAGGCTTGCAGGTAATTTTACACGATAAGGAAACTGTCCAATCGCATTTACAGGATCTAAAAATATTAAATATTATTATAATTATAATTTAAAATAAAATATTAGAGTTAGATTCTTACCATAGAATAACATTATCATTCCCAGAAATCCTGTGAAAGAAACCAACGTTGCGTATATAGCAAAAGGTAGTTTATTCTCGAATTCGCCGCGGTAAAAAGCCTTTCTCTAAAATATAATCAAAACACCAATAATAATTATATTAACATAATGTACGATATTAATAATATTTATAAATCCTAGTTGTATAAATCCTAGTGATTTTTAAAATCATAAAATATAGAGTAGTTGAATTTACTTTTATCTAAGTAATAAATTCGAACTAACTTGATGTACATTCAACTACAAAGTAAAAATACATGGTTAATATTAGGAAATATTTTAATAAAGCGACATGTTAACTCCACTAGTCGGATATTTATTGAATAACGAGTTATTTAATTTTTTCACGTTTACCATATAAAAGTAATCATGGCGATTTTAGAACTTTTTTTGAAAATTACACTTTTGGACGATTTTTGAGATTTTCAAAATTTCGTACCACCTACTCATCCAGCTCAGCAAAACAGTGGATTATGCAAGGTATAGTCAGCACTATTAAGCGGCTTAGACATTCTGGTGACCAATAATTTTAGTTTTTAAGTTAATATTGCTCTAGGGTCTCTTTCTGTTTTGTTTCTTACATATCCATTATCTTCCAGGCCAACAAAACTTACTACTATAAAGGTGGAAACACCGTCCCCATCTTGTACCTTATAGTAATAGTAGCAGTTTAATCATAATTACTGGTCATTTTAAAAGCTATACACGTATTATTTTGATTTCCTTGAAATTTTTTTAAAACTAACAATGAGTGTTTAGATATATTACAAAATATGAAAATATTTTAATTTTCTTTTTCTTCTGTTTTGATTTTATATCTAAGGTAGCAACTTTTGGAATTTTTTTACAACACTCTTGCAGTGTTCACAGCCTTTCGCAATTCAAATCATACATATTAAGTCATTTCAAATTAGTTCTTATCTCTGCACGTCAGAGGATAACACCACAGAGGAATATTTTTCCATCCGGATTTTCAAATAAAAACTTTCCTTTTTGATTGGGGTGTTTCTAATACCATGAGACTCAATCTGGTGTCTTAAATTTTATGGATATGCATCTTTATTCATTGCATGTTATCATAGAGTCAAATAATACTTCCTTCTTGGATGTTCAATACGCAGTCATATAATAAGATAAATCAGCATTGGATTGTAGTTATTACCATATTTCAAAAGTATGGTTTTTAATAGTTAGTTTCTACCTAAATCTGCATATCAAGTGCTCGTTGCATTACTGGAATATTTTTATTTTTTTCCTGATTGATGTAACATCCACTTTTTGGGGTTTCAGTCTCAAAAGCGCATTTTGCTTTTTGATCATGAATTTTTCTATTAGTTCAATGTTGTCGGCGAGCTCAGTAATGATGTATGAAATATTATAAAAAGAAAGAGCTTTATTTAAGAGATAATCCGCTTGTCGATCTTATACTAAACAAATCATTTGTCAATATTTGTTGACGAAAACAGTTGTTTTTCTTTGTAAAAAGCTAGACAGTTTTAAAATCGATCTTTATATAAAAATACCTATTAATATTTAGTTTCCCTTTCGATTTTTTATCTGTATCAACTTCAACTTTTTTTTGATCCATTTTATACTTTTTACTGAATTATATATTATTTTAGCAGGTTGTTAACAGAACCATTTTTCTTATTTATATAATTGTTTATTATGATTATTATTCTTATTATTATGTTAATAATAATATTACTAGTTACCTGTTCGGTAGTTACAACATATTTCATCGTTGCCAACTTAAACTTCTCTATCACATTGCGAATGTCTGAAAAGCGATAAAAAGAATTCAAGATCTGCAAAGAAAAACTTACATAAATAAAAAGGTTATTTTTTTATAAGTATTTAAAGATACTAGAAATTAAAATAAATTAGTTAAACTACTTAGAAAACTTGTTATACAAATTACTCTTATTTTCTCATCATAATCACTTCAATGCATTTCATTAAGATTAATCGTTTATTTTAAAAAATTTGATTTTCTTAAAAGTTGAATTTAGATCTATTGATTATTGATTCCATGCCAAAATTTTACTAAAAATTTTAGTAATAACATTAAATTTTTTTAGAATTTTTTTTAATCATCTTCGTGAGGAAGATAGAATTTCGTCAAGTAAAATGTTGAAAAGTGGATCGTATGACAAAGAAGCAGGATCGTTTTCATAAGAAAACGTGTCTCTCTCCTGATCCATCAACGCGAAATAAGATTGATTACTTCATGATTGATGCAAGACACGATTCAGGTGTACTGGACGTACAATCGTTTCGTGTTTTAAATATCAACTCGAACCACTACCTTTTCGCAGCGAAGATTGAATTACAACAGCATTAACCATTTAGACATTATATTCACAATTATATATTAGATTCTTAATTCACATCCCTTACAATTAATCTAAATGCTGTAATAGAGAAAACCATACCAAAAATCTTCGCGTTCATAGCAATAGTAATGTGGACAATTTGCAATGTGCTAATGGGGTGTCATTGTTTTTTGCCGTTTAGGCGTTATGCTAAACTGTTCAGATTTTCAGCGCTTTACAATATATAGTAAGTCTATTGTGGGACGAGAAGAGTCAAAAAGTACGGTGTCATCCAGTTCAGATTTTTAGCGGCTTACATTACAAATCTGATGTGAAACGAGAAGAGAAGAAAAGTATTAAACGAGCGCAGCCATATGGAAGAAACGCACCATAGTATCAGGTATTAAAGCACCAAGATGCCGCGATAATATTGTAAAATATATATCATAAAATTGTCACATTTAATATTTTCGCATATATTATATACTAATTATTTTATTTCATTAGAAAAAAATTTAAGCACCTCTACATAGAGTATCCATATAAGTACATTTAGCTGATTCTAAATTTTTAATTTACACTTTTTCTTGAGAATTTATAATGAAACCGGAAGTAATGAAAATATACTCTAAAAAAGATTTCCCAAAGGTATTTGTAAATATTCCAAATTTTTTTCACAAAGTATTCAATATGGAATTAATGTACTTAATGTATATATTGTGACGAACAATTTTTTATTACCTAATTTATTTTTCCTATAAATCTGATAGCACAACACTCTCCATACTTAGACGCCAAGTAATCCTATAAGGCGCTAAATACATTCTTTGCGTTTTAGTGTTTATGCGCTAAACATTATTTTTAATTTTGCTTTCTAACTGCGTACAATGGGAAAAAACAAATGCCTTTGCCTTATAGATATTAAAAAAATGTTTTAAATACTGAAATGAATAGTACGGCATTATCAAGATATTAAACAAGAATTATTTATTTTGTGAATATTTATCTTAATTTGGGTACTACAATTATATGGCACGTCATCACCAAAACTTTGAACTATACCAGCAAATATTACTAAACCAAATTAATTAATAAAATATATTTGAAATTATTAAGATGGAACAATGATGAGGTTGAAAGTTCATAAACTTTTTTTGCTTGCTTAATGCATTTAACGCATTTAATTTTAAATGAAGAGACGCAATAACGCATTTGACGCAAGAATTCAATCATCATTTCGCCTTAGCATTATCAATGTATATAAAGACGTTAACATAGTGAAGTTTAATTATAGGTACACACTAGTCAGTGACTATTTACTATATTTACGTCCACCTCCACCAGGAAGTTAAGGTACTATTTAGTACAAACTCGAAACAACCAACCCCTCAATAAGTTTTTTATTTCTCGAAGAGCCAAGGAATATACGATTTAACCGCAACCATTAAGAATTCGAATATATTGTATATTTTTCGTAAATTTCTTTGATATTATAAGTGAATTATTTACTTTTTATTTATTTTAAATATAAACATTCGATTTACAGTAAATTAATGTAAAATAGTAGATGGTTCACGTACTTAGACCTTTTTTAATTTATATTATAGTGATATTATTCATTTTCTTATTAATTCTGAAAGATCGATAAAAAAAAATTTCTTAAGAAAATAAAAACAAAAAAAAAACACATGGACTATAAATTAATTAAAAAATTTGAATATTTTCTAAGACTACTGCATATAAATCAATAAATTAACTTAATTTCTGTTATTGTCTCTTAATTTCTATTCGAACTTTTCTGATTTTTAAATAGTTTCTTTTCGTTCTAATTAAAAAATTCGAATATTTCCTAAGACCACTGCATATGAGTACTTGACAATACTCGAAACAGCGTTGTATGGTCAGAGAAATTTCAATAAATTAACTTAATTTCTGTTATTGTCTCTTAATTTCTATTCGAATTTCTATTTCTGATTTTTAAATAATTTCTTTTCGTCATGAATATAATATAAATAATAAAAGTCTATACTCAGAACAACCCAATAATTATAAGAATTGAATTTTTTGAGTCGATAGCCAAAATAGATGGTTCTCTTCTTTTATAATTGGTATACACATATAATTTTATACACTTGAATCAAATAAACCAATAATATGAGTTATTATATTTCTGAATTAACTGAATTAAGTTGAAAATTGTTTGATTATAAGTAATTGATTTGTTCGCTTTGTTATTATTATTATTTTGTTTGGGGAATTTGCACTGCGACCTATAGTTTTATTGTGCTCCATTCATGGACTAAGAGATTTTCTCCAAGTCCAACTTTTACTATAAACTGTAGCATTAAATCAACATTACAAAGTTTTATTGCTTTCCTTTCTCAGTATTTATACACCTTAATAACTCTCAAAATTAGTAATCTAATCACTTCGCTTTTTCCTGAAAATAAGGAAAGAAAGAATATTATCAAAAGCCAAGCCAGAAATCACAAAAAACGTATGTTATATCATCCCAACCATTTTATTAGTAGAATTATAGCAGAAGGAAGAACGTTCACACACCTCCGCAAACAAACGCCATTGGAACTTTAATCTATGACCGACTTCAACAGACGGATTTGCTACTGAGCACAGTCCTTTCAAGCCCACAAAAATTTTAAGTACTATTTAGTCACTTACGCTTAAATAATGTTTATTGTATATTCTGAATTGACAGATCGCAATGTAAGAAAATAATAATAATATCTACTG